GGTTGGGACAACGAAATTACCAAAGTAGTCTTGAGTCTCAAGAAAACCTGCTAAACCGAAGCGTTCACAATGGCGATTGTGGCAATGAGCTCGAATAACATGCTGAATGTGTTTAGGAACAAAATCTCCCTCTGTACTGTAAGCTGTATGTGCATAAATCTAATGAAGCGGCTCAGTTCCGAATAAGCAATGCGATGAAAAGATGATGCCATGAAGACGTTATGCTCATAATAGACTATTCATATTTCCGCCTATTAGACGGCCAGCGTAGCGGCCGCAGGCCGCTAGTCTAATACTTTAATTCAAAGAGTTCAAAAGTTGCGGTTGTGGTGGCCGTGGCTGTCACCCCCAACGCGCAGGCCTACGATGCAATCCCATTCTGGATCATGGGCCAGGCCTACAAGGCTACGCCTTTCCCGGCCATCTAATACTTTAATTCGAATAGCCCAAGAGATGTGGTGGTGGTGGTTGTCACCCCAGCGCGCGTGGCCTACAAGACTATGAAACCTCAGGCTAAATGCTAGACCATCCACCTCTCAAAGCGCCAGGTCCTTCAGGATGTGTTATTCTAGGCCATGAGCTTGGTCATCCAACGCTTTTAGCGCCAGGTCCATCGAGCTATAACAGTCTGAGCCATAGGCTTCATACTTAGCTGTGTCAATCAAAGGGTGGTAATAACTGAATGCATGTCACGTTTTATTTTTTTCTGTTAGGTCAAGCGTGGCGGTTCAGGACATCACTTCCATGCAATTTTTTTTTCTGTTTGAGTTTCATGTCATGGCCAATTCATTTGAGTTCTCACGATTGAGGAAATCAAAATAATAACATAGGTTTTCTGTTTCATACGTCGCGCAAACGGGCCGCTCTTCCCATCAAAATGGTGGCGATTTTTACGATCTGAGGTTGAACATGAAATGAAAAAATGTTGAAAGATGTCCCACAGGACGGCGATGAGGCAGTCGCTGCAGATAAAAACGTTTGGTGCTGGCGCGGAAACTACGTTTGCCACTGCAGTTGCGGTGCGAAGTGCCAAAAATCGGTGCTTTAGGAGGTGCTAGCCATTATTGCTAGAATGACTGATGAACAATACCCAGTTGCATGTAGGGAACGTAATGGGAACAGCAAGAGGCAGCGAATGCTGAGCCTCGGAATAGGAGAGCCATGCATCCTGCAAAGCAACTTCATGCAAGGTTGGCATTTTCAGGAATTAGTCTTTAGCGTTGTGCCGCACGTGCACTAACTTCACTCTGTGCCGTTGAACAATTTCTTGGAAACGGTCCGTACTGTTTCAGAATCATTGGTGTCTGTACCATACGCTAACGCTAATAGCCGATAAACTAATCGGGGATGCAAGAGTGTTGAATGTGTTGGGATGACGAAATCAACAATGTCGTCTTGAGTCTCATGAAAACGTGCTAAACCGAGGCGTCCACAATGGCCATTGTGACAATCAGCTGGAATATCATGATGATGGTGTTTAGGAGCAGAGTATCCCTGTGTACTGTATGCTATATGTATATAAATGTAATGAAGCGGTTCAGTTCCGTATGGGTAATACGATGAGCAGAGAAATGTCAAGGAGACGTTAAGAACACAATAGACGACTCGAATTTCCACCAATTAGAAGGCCAGCGTAGCGGCCGCAGGCCGCTAGTATCTTTTTGATTTCTTCAGCTTTCCCCAATTAAGAGAAATTAACACTTTCGCTCCGGAGGGTTGGTGACTCAGATTATTTTGAGATCTATCAAAGAATTCATAACTTCTGAACAAAAAATGCTCTTTTTTGGAAATTGAAGTTTCCTTTTGTAGTGCTAGGGCCAGGATGGCACTTTGCCTAGCACCGTGGGTTAAAATGAAAGGCCAGTTGGGAGCTCCATAATTAATCTATTGGCTTGACATTTGAAAACTAATAAAATATATGAAAATAAATAATAACAAACGGGCAAATCAAATCATTCTTGGCAGGCGCTAGGCCATGTAAAAACACTGAATGAACAGACCAGCCAGGGACGTGCGGATCTGCAAAGCACGGGCGGACCAACGACGAAAACAAGAAAGTTTCAGCAAAAACCAACGACGAACGTGTCGATCAGCAAGTCTCCGGAAAAACCAAGGGGATGTGTTGACCAGCAAGACTCGGGAAAGAACCAGCAAGGGAATGTGCAGACCAGCAAGACTCGGCAGACTCCACACACGACGAAACAAGCGCCCACCGGAAGATGGGCTCCCCCTGACACACCCCCAGCTCTGGCTGCTCTCTGGTATATATGTTCAAGTGTCATGTGGGGTAGAGGAGAACCCCCACTTGGAGTAGTTAGTGTTCAACCACGTCCATGCTTGATAAATACCATTCCTCCGCTGAAAAGCAGGCACAGCACAAGATTTGTCCTCAGAGCCTCTGACTAGCTGGTCTATTCCCTTTCAGCAACACTGGATGCTGGTCGTGTCGTCTGCTCCTTAGACACGACACTACACTTTCTCTATTTTATTGCGTTAAATATTTCAATATCAGACAAATTTAAAAGGACGTACTATTACGTCCACCGTAGTCCGATGATAGATAGGACTGGACGTACAGTTACGTCCGTCGGATCGAAAGTGTTAATGTTTCGCAAAGAGACAAAAATGTAATAGAAACAGTGAAGCAAAACGTGAAGTTACGTGAAATTGCGAGAGAAATGCGTAAACCGTTTCCTTAACTAGTTCAATCCATTCAATCCATAGCATATAATCACAGTATAAAAAAATTGTGAACTATTTTCGTGAGCACAATGCACTCATTACTGTCTGTTAGCAGAAAATGAATTGATGGGAACGTCATTGTTTCGAGAGTTGGCATGAACGATCCATGCAATTCACAACCAACAATGATTCCTTTAGAAAACTTTTCTTGCATGTGGCGGAGAGTCACTCCTGTTGCTCTTCATTACTTCAATAGGGTTTCACGATCGTATAGGTGATCAAGTACTCCGGGTATGCCTGAAATTCATGAACACAAATTGAAGTTCATTAAGACTATCGCGCTGCAAAGCAATGCAAATCACAAGATCTGAGAGAAACCTGTTCGCCACGCTGGACAACATATTCCTCGTAGTTGAGACCGTCTTTGGCAGCTCGTCCTGTTATGGAGTCATATCCAGCCAAAGCTTCATCTTTTCTCAATTTCTTGATCATATTCTTGGACTTCCCTAGTATCACCTTGCAAAGCAGCATTTTCCTGTATATCCAATGGAGACAAACCTCAAATTTAATTCAAATACGTTTTCAGATAGTTGGGAAATAGTGATAGAAATACCAGGCAAACCTTTCGCATTCGTAGCAACATCGACGCTGAATTTTTTTGCTGTTATGTTTCTGACATGACCAACCACGAGGAAACACGTACTTGTTGCTTTTTGAGGAATCCTCAGCAAAGTAGATCCCTGGCGACAAGAGGAAAAAAAGTAGTGAATATTGCTGCTGAGATGAATGGAAATGTATGGTTGGAAAGGTGCACATTAGATTATGCAACACACTTTTAACTCACCGCGTCCAAACATGCCATCCACTGAATGTCTCTCATCGAAGCCAACATGGGCGATATCAACGACGTTTGGGGAACCATGAAATAGCTCTTTTTCGTTGAAAAGACCTGAGTTCCTTTCAGACAGCTCTTTCTTCTTTTCATCGTATTTTTTCCACAAGACACCGTTCTCGATCTTTTCAATCTGCATTGTTCAGAATTACGAATTTTGCCCTAAAAACTATTAGCGCTGGCAAATAGAACAGGGTTGAATGAATGTGTACCTTGACAATTTTGTAGTTTTCAAATTGGAAACCATATCCGTGATTTTGGATTGTTGCCTGCATCATCTTTTCAACCTTTTTGAAATCCTTGTCATTTTGGCTAAGTGGGATTAGTTCGGTTCCCTTGTGGTTCCCATGGGGTCCCGAGGGCGTGAATCTAGAGAAAAATGAAACATTAGAATGAACATGGAATAAGAAGCTATTAATATTAAAATGACAATTCATGAATCTCTCAAAGTTTAAGGTTTTTTTTTAAATGGCATTCGACATTGAGGCTGGCTCGTCCTCTAGGTATGCTACATTGATTATCTGTATCCCACACCAGGAAACAAGTTTCCAAAACCTGAACTCTATATGTAGTAAATATACAGTCCTGGAAATGCTGATTTAAAGGAAAAGCCTACTTTTAGAAGGGTATCCCTTCAGAGTAGTTTTTATTTTCATTTTTTACAGGAGATCGCTACAAAATAACTATTTGTCCCAGTGAATTGGGAAGACATGAAGAGCTGAACGTGGGTACTTCGGTTGCTCTGCAGTTGCTAATTTTAGGATACAATTTACTCTCTGGTGAAATTTCTGGGGGACATGTAAAGAAAAAGCATAACCCTAAGTTTGACTTTTTTGCCATTGGTTGGATATTATGAATTTAATTATAGTCATATATAATGAAATATACTGTAAGTACTAAATATTTATCGTTGTTTTAAAGGCTTTCATTTGAGCTATTGATGGAAAGAAGCAGAGCAAGGGGACAGGAGTTGGCAATGATGTGCCAGTCCCCAGTTTCCTCTTAACCCCCCAAAAATTGGGGAGTCATAATGCGTCAATTATCATCAGAATCTACTCATAGTCTGCATCGCATCTATTTCTCCATAAGGCATTTATTTACAAAATTTTAAGAAAATATGCTTTCGTTAAACAATGAGTCCAGTTTTCCTCATTGAGATTGGAATGAAATCAGGAAGCCTTCGACGTCTCACACTCGAGTATGAAAAAAGGATATATAGACCGGAAGTACTGCCACTTTTTCATAATTCATTTAACCGAAAAACAAGATTCGAATTTTGTCGAAATCTATGGAGTCATGAGTCAAAAGAAATTACTTAAGACGCCATCAATGCCATTCGCCCTAATTAGCTTACCGTTTGCTTGCTCCTTGTGCAGCATCCGTGCAGTCCACAGAAGTACAACCTTTTTTAGTTCGCTTCTTAGCTGCAGGTGCCCCACTCCCCAATGCAGCATCTCCCTTTCGCTTTTTCTGGGATTTCTGGGTTGAAATAGCTTCTCTAGAAGGCGACTCATCCTCAGATTCATAATTTTCTCCACGGGCTGTCTCTGGTTTTTGAAAAGGTAGCAATTTCAATTGAGCCTACGTTACCTTGCAAGCTTTCACAGAATAGAAAGAGTAGGAATCCGGCACTCTTTCAATTTCCCCCTGAATCCCGTAGCCCTGCTTCTTTCAACGCCAGTTTTATGCTTTTCCTTCCTTTAAATACTAGCTGCCCCATCAGAATCGTCTCCATTAAAATGCAAGAGTGTTTCAACTTTGGCGTTGGATATTGGTGTCTCTTGATCTGCAGCTGACCAATGTGAAAGCTATCCTTGTATCAGAGCAAAATTTCAAGATCATTGTAGTAGAATCACATTGAGGAAAGGATATGCTACATCTAGGATTATAGCAATTTTCTCATCACACGCTCTTGAATGTCAAGAAATATGATTAGTTCCAGAAAACATCATTCAAGCTCTCACCAAGAAACTTCAGAACATAGAAACAATGTATACGTTAGGCAAAGCAATATGAATAGGAAAAAACTCCCTGAAGACAGGATCCATTCTCCAGGATGGAGAAGATTTGGACTGAGACGTCTGTCCCTGACGACTCAGAGAACTGTTGTACGAGTTTATTTTGAAGCAATTGATTCCGTATTGATTTTTGTTTCGCTTTAGGATTTCAAGTGAAGATTATTGTTATAAGACACTGTCCACAATTGCCTATTATTTAATGTATGAGTCTCTTATGATCACCAAGAACATCATTCCAATTGACTTCGTTCAGGTTTGCATACTGTGCAATAAAGAGAAAAACGTTGCGTCGTTTGTCAATAGAGAAGATCACAGCACACTTGCTCCTCCCAAAACACAGAAAATCCATTTATTTAGAATATGAATTGCACTAAAGTGGGGAGATTTATGAAAACATCATGAATAACGATTGGACATTCTGGTTAATTGGGGGATGAATTGGAAGATAATTATTTCAGAGATAGGCCTACGATTAGGTCCAAACCTGATCGAACCTCACATGGTAGAATAGGCTCGGATGGTTGGTTATAGTGGCACATAATGCATGCCATCCGATACGGAAAAGTAAAAATCCATGTGGTCTACCGGTAGGGTATTACATTGGTGAAAATAAGTCATCTTTAGTAGTAAGATTGGTAGTAAGATTGTACAGTATATTCACTTAAAATAAACAAGCTACTATGAATTTTAGAAAATTCCTTCTCAAAAGTTAGTGTATTGCATGCCTAACTATTAAATTCAAATCGAAATCATGTGAAGTGAACTCAATCGCACAATAATAATTTTTTTTTAGGGCCACGATTTTCCCCCTTTGGCCACGCATACCAAAGGACTAATGTCTAATCCTCACATTGAGTTTACGAAATCCACACTCATCCGGCTTTCTTGATTGCTTAGCAAATGCTCCGCATGGATTAAGTTCAAGCATATACTGCAAGAAGCCTACAGCAATCAAACTCTCAAACACTTCTTGAATTTACCTCCAAAGTTATCATTTCAGCACGGGCAGGCAGTAAGGCACTCAACAATCCAATCGTAAAGTTGCTTGAGAGAAAAGTTGCAGTTTTCCCGTATCGCAGTCACATAGGTATATGGCAAAACAAAGTATTATCTTTGGGACCAGGAGCTTGATGTAAAAAAAAAGGCCGTTTGCAAATAGTGATTGTGCTGTTTGCTGCATCCTCCCTGTCCTCCTTCATTCCTTGGTTCCTGATTCATGCAATACAGACAAAGAAAACAATTACAGCCTCCTAGAAATTATCTCTAGTGAGACTTACTCATTTTTTTACGTCATGAATAATTTTGTTGATCTGAAGACATTTTTAAGTTCAGGCAAATAATGATGTCCTACATATTAAAGCAAGCAGTTGTGATTCATTTACCCTCTAAGAAGTTCGCCACGTCCTCTCTTCTGATGTCCCTAAGGGATTTAAGGAAAGCATCATAGGTGACTTCCGGAACCTTGCGGAAGAGGGTGACAAATATCTTGTCGAATCGCTTTGTTAGGTCATTTTCCTCTCGGATGCTTCTTTCCTCGTGGATGGTGAATACATCATTTGCGCTCAAGCTTCGTAATAGCTCATCGCCGTCCACGTTGAATACATCTCTTATAACAATGAAGTTTCCTCTGATTCTTGTCCATGTTCGCGGCATGTCGCTTATCTCTAGTATGGTCTTCCTTTCAGGCAAACGTCAGAAGGCTACTAAAAATAAAACTCTCGGTAATACGAGGAAATTTAGCTTACGAGTACAAATATGCTACCTTAGCTTGTTGAGTGTCACTCGTGTCCTGCAACTGCCCTACAGGAGATGGGCATCGTTGGATTCATTATGCAGCAACCATAAATTAAGAGAGAGAGAAGACACATACCTGAGTACTGTTAAGGCTGGGTACAGGGCTGAAATGAACGTTCACTATACGGTGTGGGGAGCAGGAGAACGATAAGCTCAACCTTTCGCTCTCGTTTCTCCTTATCTACAGTGCTTACGTATCTCCTCTGAGCTCTACATTAGAAGTTCTTTATCTGTCCATTGTGTGAGCTCTGGGTGTTCTTGCTCTGGAAATTCTTCTGAGATGTCTGCTTTTCCTCTTATCACACCTTCAGCTGGCAGAGAATGAAGGTCTCCACTAATGCAACTATGAATAAAACTGCACTTGGTTCAGCTTCACCTAAGGCAGTAACCTTCCTGACATTTCACTCGTGGCATTGCCACGATTATGAAAAAGTATCCACGTCCTTCAGGAGTGATAGCGGACTGCATAGTTGAATAGAATTTGGCGAGTTGGTCGGCGAATTTTTCAGGTCACCCTATTAAAGGTTATAAAATATCAGCTAGCTGGCAGACACCTTCCTCAATATGCAACTTAGAAACAAAGGGTTACTGCAGGCAATCTTTCTTCACTGAGACAGCAGGAATGGTTACTATAACTGATAATGAATTCGTTCAAGGTATGCTTGTTATTTTACGCAATTCACCTCCGTTTTTTAATCCATGAACCTCCAGGCTCCATTCTGTTCATATTCAAGAACTTTCTGAAGAAACTCACGCCACGTTTCCGTAAAAGTTTTATAAAGGTAGGTGCGCATAGTTGAAACCAACTTCAGTAATAAATATTTCAGAAGAACATAACCCTTCGTTATTAAAAATGTGCACCCCAGTGGACCACAAAAAAGGATCAGGACAACAGCAAGAAGGAATATAGATGACTATGGTCGCGCCTTCGCCGCTCTATTACCTTTGGATAGACTAAGATAGGCAACTTGTGCGAAAGTTTCAATTTTCCTCTCTCCGTTTAGCGAAAATATTCGGGAATACCTTCGTTCAAAAAAATTAAGGTCCCTGTGAGATTGTACCATGAAAATAAAAATTTCCTAAAATCAGTTCCCCAAGAACACCAGGATTACCAAGTATCAGTTATCAGTTATTTCCCAACTTTGAAGCTTCTTGCAGTGAAAATGTATTTGGTAGGAAATTCTGCAAAAGAAGAAATCCTCTTGGATAAACCTCCTGAATACAATTTGTTTAAGTGGCAAAAACTCATTTAAAGTACGTCCTCATCAAAATATATGCAATGAGGGGACGTCACAGAGATTTTTTATTAAAATAATAATTACTCCGATGATGTCTTGTGAGCCCAACTTCAACTCTATTCATGTATATTCAATTTATCAAAGTGAAAATAAATCTTGAAATATTTCCCTCTCATAAACCGCCCATGAATAAAATGGAGGAGTTACTGATGTGCGCAAACTGGGTGAAGGATACATATGACATCTATATTGCGAGACTGTCTAGGAATGGGATTCAAGCAGGGTGTTATCGCTACTTATATTTTCTACTTTATGGCCGAACTGCACAGAGGTCATTCCTCTGGAGTATACAACACCAAACCCAAAAATCCACTCAAAATGGAGAGACCACCTCACACTTCTTTATACGAGCAGCATCCATAAGTTTTTTTGAGAGCGCGAAACGAAGGTGGAAGTCTTCCACCTTCGTTTCCACCTTCCACCTTCGGAAAAGTCCTCTGAGGACATTTCCAACCAGTTTAAGAAGTTAGTGGTCAATCTCAGGACAGAAAGAGGTGAGCTGCATTGGTTACCTGTTTTAGGGAATTAAATCGCTTATTCCCGTTTCGCTACCTTTCCCGGAAATCGCCCATTATTTTCTATGAGTGCGCTAGCAATCCCTCCTCTCATTCATCAATCACATCCACATCCACACCGAAATAGAATACGCTAAGCAGTTTCGTTGTTCGTGTAGCCGTAAGCTTATGGGCTTTTGCCTTTCCAGGGGCCCGTTCCTCGCCTCTGCTAAACTTAATTCTAAATCTAAATCTAAATCTTAGGCTAAATCTAAGTCTAAAGGGTAAGGGCTAAGAATAGACATTTTGCTTTTAGACGGCTTTTAGATATACTGTATATCTAGATACGTCGTGACACCGTTTCAGGAAAAATGCTTTCGACCAAAAAAATTATTTCAGCCATAATGGATTGACATTTACCATATAATATGTCAGTTGTATTCATGTAAACCATCAATAGGTGACGCGGCTATGAACCCACTCATTTTGTATATTTCTTTTATCAATTGAATAAAAATGACCAGTCAAATTCTTGACCAAGAGGACATGACACGTTCATTGCTTATTCCTTCGTGGAAGTGGTGTCTTCAGAAAATGATGACTTTGATAGCGGAACTACATTTGCACCATCTCTTGATCTTAGTGATTCTGATTATTGACAGAGGTTGTGATGTGACAAGTTTTTATGAGGACAATCAGCAAGACGATTAAGACAATCGATAATTTAGAAGCAATTAATCATGGTGGGACTGGAGATTCAGGAACAAGCACCATGTGATCTATATTTCAGAAAGTTTTCTCTTTCACAGACACACGTGGTCCCAGTAATATCAAACATTGAATCAACACCTATTGAATGCTGAATCAACGTCTGGGTGTTGGTGCGATGCTTCTTTTAGGTTGATTCAATGCTATGTGCTAAGGAGTGGGTGGGTTGGTTGATGACCATGATGGTCCACTTGAAGCTTATGATCTTCTCAGTGATGAAGTCCTAAATATCAGTGTAAGAGATATTAATTGTCTTGCCCAGATAATCCTTATATGTAGCACTGTTACACAGTAATCTCTTTGAAAAAGAGACCGATACTGACTGGGCTGAAGTTCTGAAGCCTGCTAACTTGAATGGGTCTTGGGTGGGACAGGTTAGAACTATTCCTTTGCATGTAGTATTTCCATGACAATAGTAATGTTGAAAAAGGTGATTGCATTGCAATGATTTGACTTCTACTTGATACTCTGGGGGATAATTATCAAGAGAACTGATCAGACGTTCGTCATTGCTGAATCAATGCTACCATGACCTGTCTTTTCGTCAGTATATGCCATCAACATGTGAAAACTATGGCATGAAACTCTTCAACCTGTGCACAGATAATTGATTCACTTGGCGAATAATCATCTATTGTGGAGAACAAGATGATAGGTTTAATGACTTGTCACTGACGGGACAAAAGGAAGGTCATGATTTCTCCCAGCCACCCATCAGCTTTGCTGGAAAATGTTTGGAAGAAAAGAAATTGACTAAAATCGGCTAAAAGAAAGCATGTCATCTGTATCATTCACGTCTGAAGGAAGAATTGGAACATGAACGAGCTGGGAAGAAGTAATATTCTGTATATTATCTAATATATATAGACGATCGTGACTGACTGACTGATGCTAATTCTAACCATGTTCCAGAAATGTTAGACATCTGAAACTTGGTAGACATGTATCTTTGGGGCGCAGAGTTCAGAAAAAATCCGACTTTGGAGGTATATACCCTAGGGGTACACATTTTCGAGGGGGAAAAGTTTTTTAAAAATATACATCGTGATGGATGAGGATGTCATCGAGAGACACTATTGCATGTCGACGTGTAGGTGGTGTAGTGGTAGCACTTCCGACCAGTAATCGTGAGGCCTGGCTTCAAGTCCCGGCTGTTCCATGTTTTTTTTTGGCTTCTCTTGCCTTCCATGTCCCGTTGCTTGAATAAAACGGAGAGACATGGAAAGCGTAAACTTGGCATGGACGTGCATACCGACACGATGAGATAAAGAAAAATGCAAAATTTTGTATCCATCCCATTGGGGCATGGATCCAGCAAAACGGAGGGTGCTAGAAAGTTTACTTGGCAAAGAAGTATCTAATGAATAGCTGAGTAAATACATAATTTAACTTTAAAATTATATGAAGGCGATCGTGACTGACTGATTTGAGTAGCTATTCACATGCTGAGTTCAGGAAAAATTCCACTTGGGTGATGCACGCCATAGGGGGACACCTTTTTTTTAAGAACATATTTTTTAAATAGTTCTCTTTGCTTCAAACAAACGGAGACCCATGGAAAGCTGTAACATGGCAAGAATGTGACTGGTGAAGCACTCAGGTAAAATGTCACATTTCCAAAATATTTTTAGGGGGCATATTTCTTGGGGACGTAACGTTTTCAAAGAATTTGTAATATCCTAGCGAATCGGGCAGAAATAGAAAAATAGCAGTTGTCGCACGCATAACGGACGTGATGTTGATTTAAGAAAAAATTCAACTTTTGCTGAGCGTTTCCCCAGAGCACAGCTTTTGGATGGGTTGCTTTTCCAATAATACTTTTTATCGTCAGCAAAAAGGGGAAACGTATAAGGCTGAAACTGGGTGGCATGGAGTTCCCTGAGTCTACATTTCAAAAGAATAAAAAATTTCGTTAACACCCATAGTGCACTTTTTTCAGTCCCATTTTCCTGATTTTTTTTTGATCCAACGAAACAGAGACAGGAAATTTAAACTTCCCTCAGAAGTACCTGTTTCATGGCTGAGTAGAGGAGAAATCCTAATTTTGAGATATGTATCCTTAGCGTAGATTATTGGAGGGAAGTTTTTCAATATGTATTCTCCACCCGTACAAAAAGGGACGCAAGAAAAGATTTCAAGTTATGCACACAGAATCATAGAGGTAATGATTTTGATGAAAAAAATCAAGACATCCTACCCCATATGTCACGTATTTCAATGGGGACGTACTTTAAATACGTGTTTCCCATTTCGCAAAAAATGAATGAATTAATCACTATCCAAGGTAAGGGAGCGCCGAAGGCGCGACCATAGCGAGTTTGTTTCCCGGAGGGCAAAAAAACTCGCTAGTAGAGTATACACTTCGTTGTTTGGCCGGCACAACCCACCAATGCGCACGTAGTGCTTGACAAACCACCATCCTTATAAATTAAGTTCATTTTTCCAAGAATACAGTGCATCAATTCTCCAAAGAGGTCAATATCATGTTGCTTATTATTCCCTTGAGGCCAGGCTTTCAAATTGCTAAGCAAAATGCATACAGGCATCAAACAAAACGGGTCGAAGTAGCTCGGAATTGAGCGTCAGCACCCGTGGCTGACACGGCCTGGGAAGAACTTCTTAGTGTCAGCCACGGTTGGCTGTCATGGCATTCAATGTGTGGCTGTCATGGCAATTCAATCCATTCCCGGAAGCGGTCGCTTGCCGGAATGGATCAGGCCCAGAAGGCTTCTTTCATGACCTTCTGTCCGGCCGGCGTCCCCATCGGGCCAGCCTGGGTCGCTGTAGTGGTGGTTGGGCCCACATCAACAAGTCTTACGCCGAGGTTTCAATTGCTAACATTGAAAAAATTTACGTTTTCCCGAAACAAAGTGTTGAAGAGGACTTTGCGAGCCGGACGAAATCAACTAGCAGTTTGAATCCCCAGGCCGAGACCGACCCGAAGTTCGTGGAAGTCTTCCACAGGTCGGCTGGTTTAGTCTATCACCTGAGAAGTGACTTACGCCCTTGACTGACAGTGTGCTCAGATATGCAGGGTGGCCACAAAATACTTCCGATTTCGAAAAAGCAATTCCTTTATTCAAAATATCAAACATTCTTATAAACAATTGGTTAAATAAACATCGATACAACCCACACAATCAAAATAAACTTCGTCTTTACTCAAAATGATCACCTCCCGCATTTATGCAGAGCTTGAGTCGCTTCGGGATGTCGTCCACAAAAAATTTGATTTTTCAAAATCGTACGTATTTTAAGCCCAACATGTATTCTTCCTAGCATCGTAGATGCACTGAATAACGCTTATCCTCTGCAGAAGTGGTAGACAAAATGAACCACTATCCATATCAATAATCTTCACTCATTCAAATCTGAAACGGAAATTAACAAATAAACCCCCGATTATAATACTATCACGTGTCTTTCTGAAAATGCAAGAAGAACCGGTCAAGCCTATAAAAATGGCTATATGTTCGTATTTGGGTCCATTAGGCCCAGAACGGTAGTTACAGGGTTATTGATCTTGAGGGCTCGGATGAGGTTCCCAATCGATAACGATCACTCGAATGAAAAGAGCCTCATCGCATTAATATTCCTCATTTAAACCCTCGCTAGCGCCGCCAAATCACATTTATTCATGCTACTAATGCGGGCCTCCGAAATTGAACACCATTCTCTAAACGGGTACTAACTAATGCGGAATGCAACGGAAGAAACTCTTAGCGGCAAAGGAACGTCGGATGAAATTAATGCTTCGTATAAGTTTACTGTCCCACAGCGCCGTTTAGGGGGACTAACACGAGACGACACGTAGGGGTCGTCGGGCCTTGTTAGAACATGAGGTGAAGGCTCAATTCCTTGTGCGGTAATTATTCTAGCATTCTTTACGACGCATTAATGCCATTCACGAATCGAGGCAATTCCTTTTCCTATTTCCTGCTGTCTGCATTTTTCTTTGCACTCAGAGTCTGACGCGGCCAAGTACTCACTTCGATTTTCTGTCTGGACTCGGAGTGGGCGAAACCAAGACACAACGGTCGACACTCTTCCCGATCCCGGATGCTCGGGATCGGGACCGAAAACCCAGGGGAAGCTATTCTTTCGAAATTACATGGTCATTGAAGCTTCTATAAGTAGTAACTCATATTTCACAAATTATTTAGTGCGCATACCCTTTAGCTAGATAGCACAATGAAGATATAACTCGTCCCAGAAATAAAAAAAAATTGACCCAGGTGCTTGAACTTCCGAGGATTTCTTCCCCTAACCTTAATACTAAGAGTGAGATTGTTTTACAAGATCGACTGCGAAATGCAGGAGAGTAGTCTAACATGAGAAATGTTCCATTTTTGTATTAGTTCCGCCCTTCTACCCATTATTGGGAAAGCCAAGCTAACGGCTCCAATGTAGGCCAGAGAACTTGGGAATTTCATAAATGGACAATTAAACCAACTTGATCTTAATATTTAGGAAACACAAGGTGGTCATTACATTTCAAGTAGCATCTGACAGCTAGAAAATCTCAGCTTAGGAATGGCAGATTGAACTAGACATTCTTGTCAAGAAGAGTCTTTAACGAACCTCGTGACTCGTTTGTAGATGCTGCTGTAGTCGTCCCGTGCGATGTCGCTGTTGGAACTTGCAGGTTGGATAACGTCAGTGCAGCAAAATCTGTTATAGGTTACAGTTCAACGTATATTCATGACAGTGCAATGTTATATCTAATGTGTCGAGGATCGTGTCTGAGTGAGTGACGTAATTCTAATTATGTTCCAGAGAAGTTAGAAATCTGAAACTTGGTACATAGGTGCATATTGGAATGGTGAATTCAGAAAAGTTTAGACTTTGGATGAAGGACACAAAAATGGATCTAGGTAATTGTGGCAGGAGGGAAGTTAGAATAATAGTAGGAAATTTGTAGGAAATGGAAGATACTTCTGAGGCACGATGTCATGTTTGAAAGAACACAAAACATCATGCCATGTAAGGTACCGATGTAGATATCGTAATTAATTGATTCGGGTGTTCAATTCTTCACTCTCCCATATCTCCATACTTCATATATCATTTTTCCGATTAACTGTTACTGAGATTCAACTATGATACGCCTCTTCTTGCTGCGATGGTAACAGAATTCAAATTCATTTGTGCGATTTTTGCTGTGCTCGCTTTTGCTTTCACCCTTGTCTTTCAGGAGAATATATTGAATGAAGAACGGAATATAAGTTCACGAATGAACTCACCCCGGTGAAGGGATTTAGCGAGAGCAATGTGCCCTCGCTTCCCAAGGGAATCCAGGAGCGCTGGGAATGCCTTGTCTGCTCTCAAGGGCACGATATTCTGGAGGAACAGGACTTTCTTTTGGTCGCTCTTGCGAATGGTGCCGAAGAACTCGTGACGCTCGATGACACCCTGGGCCCTCATATCTTCCAAGACTCCATTAACGTTGATGAATTTCAATCCTGTGACGTGGCGCGCCAGGATGTTGGCGATCTGGCTCTGTCTCCGATTCCCATCCATTTTCAGACGGATTTCTGTCGTGGAGCGCTGCCCAAAACCTTTCCAATCGGCACCCGCTAATTCCCAAAGCGGAGTTTTGGGCGCTTACTTGCATTTGACTCTACGAAAAGGCGAAGCCGCTGTATAATGGATTGTGGTTTGCATTGGTGTGGCGCACGACCCGAAGTACTTCATAATAGCGAAAGATTACACGCTCACCTTCGCTGAAGCAGGATCGCTAGTGTTCAGGATTTTGCAGAAGTATCACTATTTTACCGAATCGATGATTACACTCGCTGCAGTCAGTATACCAGGGATGACTGTCGCCCTCGAAACGAATGATCCATAGGACTCTGGGTGCATGTTTCCTCTCTAGAGATAAGAACGTGCGACCCACCTTTATCAAGCGACGTTGGAGGGCTTTTGCCCCAACAAAGATTAATGGCTTCCTGACTACTTGAAGAAAAAATGTCATTCAGTATGAATAACTTTTTCCTTGCAAAATACACACTCAGAAGTCCACTCGGACCATGATTGTCTCCAGCTAGCGTTAACCCTGTTGGATGGAAATTCTTGAGCTATATACTCGCCAATTACTTTGTAATTATATTACTGTGTACAGGGAGGTTGTTAGACCAGTTCCTAGTTTTCTATTCGCGTAACCTTTATCGTTATGACATTCTAGGGGCCAAAGTTGCGTAGGAAATGTGGAAGATTCTCTTGGAGGTTCCTTGCTCAGGACTTGACATGCCCGATGTGACATCCATTCTCATTAATGGCTGTTCTGCAACTGGAGGGGCCGCGTAGATAAGGCTAGGCGCTAATTACAGTAGATTCGTTTGAGGCTCGGCAAAGGTGGGTCCCCGGGGCGAAAGGGTGGACTTGATTGCAAACCGATTAGTCGTGCACAAATATATTCCCTGCTGGCTGGTAAAATTGACCATCATAATCGTATTCTGTGCGTCCTAATGTTTCCAATGATACCAAACACTTGGTGAACAACCCAATTTCAGAAGCATGTGATGCCGCAGCCTCTGCTCACGCAAAATATGTGAGCCGTGATTGAATGTGACCACGCGCCCCGCCATAATAGCAACAGCAGGGGCAGCGGGAGAGCAAAGCCGTCCCGTTTTTAAGCGCGAACTTGTGCATGACGTCATAACGGTCATTTTCTAAGTCAATTTCCTAAAATTAGTTGGGAGAGCAAGCGTCATTGTGGAAAAAAAGTGAGGAGCAGAAATCCATCCACATGTCGGTTGTGGTCCGATGCGCGAGCGCCAGACGTACTCGATCGAGTCCTTTTCGTACGTCTGGACACTCATGCGGCTGACGCGTCGTCGCATGTCTCTTTTGATCAAGGACCAGTACGCCTCAATATTCTGCGTATGAGTGAAAGGATCATTTGGTTTCACGAAGCTACGCCCGGTGATTGACCACGTCATGTTGAAAACCATGTTGCGCGAGGCGAGAGTATGCCCTCCAGGCGTCGGTCAATTACGACGCTCCCTGGAAAAAAGTAGCCCGAAGGGTTTCTCGCAATGTCTCGGCTTTCCGGTTTTCTACTCGAACCAAAAAGCTGCAGCGGGTTCCCCTCTCGATCCCTCCCACCACCCACTGGGTGGATCGAAGGCGTCCGCGGTTGTATTTCCTCTTGCCGAAGCAAGATTCGCCTACTTCTACGACGCGCCCCGGCCCACCCAATGGCTCCGAAGTCTCCAGCAACCAGACATGCAGGAGTTACCAGAACTGACAAAGAAGAGTGGACACGGTGTTCGGAGCAACTCCAACCTCTCGAACGATGACATTCGTTGGGTTTTTAAGTATCCAACAGGGAAGTACCCCCAAAAAGATCTGTATACGGATTGTTCTATCCACAAAAAATGTTCCGCTCCTCAGAGAGTACTTCCGACGGCAACCCCGGCCGGTGCACCGGAACATGGACTCTCGCAGTCGACCCACTCCACACGGTCTTGCTTCCCCACGACAGTTGCTGCACGTCACGCTGGCGGCGATGAGTCCCATTTGAATGCAAAAGGACACCAGTCCTACTATAGAGAAATGGGCTAAGGAACTTCTTAGACTGCGCAAAAAATCCATGACAATATGTCACGGCAGATAACTAAATGACGAGTGACCCTTTCACCTACCCAAACGTTTTTGGGCAGGATTATTGGCCTGTTCTACCCTTTCCTTTCCCTCAAGACGATAGAGATCACCTCATTAGCTCGACTAAGCTTAGGTCGTTAAGATGTGACCCCTCCTGTTGTGGAACAGCCTCAATAATTCTTAATTCTCCGCAAACGGAGAGAATAATAATTTTGGAATACTATGTGAAGAACGCCTCCGTGCGAACTGCAGGCTTTTATCCACGTTACTTTCCGTCAACCGTTGGTCCATTTTGATTTTGTATGTTTTTTCAGAAATTCTAGTAAAGAAAATCGTCCGTGTTGCTGAATACGAAATGGTACGTCGTTGTGAAGCTCGCCGGAAAGCTCTTTCTGGGACCGCGGATTAACATTTGTCGGGCGAGAGCGATATTTAGCGTTGTATACACTTGGTACACTATCCATGAGCACCACGAGCAGTTAAGCCGGACAATATCACGAGTCCTTTGAAGCCGAAAAGAAAGTTGACTGAACTGGCCATGCGGCGTCATTTTTTTTTAATTATTAAATTCCAACTGAACATATATTATCTTGTTAGTTCGCGGCGACCGCAAGTACAAATCAAAGACTGAGAATCAAGAAAAAGAATAAGGAGAAATAAAAGAGTACCGAAAAATAAAAGCATTAGGTCTTTTTGCGCAACAAGGTAGCTTATCCTCAGGGGGGTTGCGGGTAAATGCGATGACCATAAGGCAATAACGAGGAAGGGAATCGGCCATGAATTAATTACGAGCAGTTGAGATAAGAAAGCCACCTGTCAGTTTCCTTCCCTAAGGTTAACGTGCGGCGACTGAAGGCAAAGCTTTTGTTGACCTTGTGAGACATGACCTAGATTCCCAAATAATTTATTCAGCTTAATAATGTATTCGACCATGGGTAGGTCGAATGACGGCAGCACCCACCATGGCCTTGAAGTTGCAATGCATTACCTACCTCTACTCCTCCACAGGCACATAGAGCATCATGGGACTCACTTTGGTTTTCATGCTGAGGAAGCGTGGAGGGCTATAGAAACAACGTTATTTTGAAAAGTATTAAGTTTCACTTCTTGCTGCTAGCCCACCTATTGCTAGCTCCTTCAATACGCTCCATGTACGTTAATGCACGAAAACATACGTTCGAAAATTTTTTAAAATGTCGGAAGATGCTGGAAGGTTGCTCTGTTAGGACGAAAAGCCCTCCTTCGTTTCCGAGTCCAACTTGAACTTGAACTTGAACGCATAATGCTGAACGTGGTGCTTCGGTGTTCCACAACTCCATGCAGCCGAATCATCAATTGGGAGAAACGAATTAGGTTTGGCTGCCGGCGTCAGAGGTTCATCACGAACAGGTTGTTCAATCCTGGGAAATTTAGAGGTAAACAGAGGATTTGATCGGAACTGTAGATAAAACGTTCCGTTCCTGTATAACGTTATCGCCGCAATGAAGTTCCTTTCCAAAGCTTTCCGTTTCACTATAATGTTTCATAATGTTATCAATAAAATTCCAATGCAAACACGAATAATGTATTGTAATATATTTTTATTGCAATGTGTTCATTCAAAAGTGATTAAAACGAAGAAATATGGCCTCCGTTGAGAAAGTTAACTCCTCCGCGAGGAAAGAAGGAACCGAAGCGATGGAAAGAGTCGCTCAACGCTCACCTGAGACATGGGGGTCGCCATAGCAACTCTTGAGCTAGAACTAGAGCGTTCGTTTTTCGTCATAGAGCTAGAGCGTTCGTTTTTCCTCCTTTTCCCACATCGATGCATTTTCCTTTTTAAGGATTCGTTGAGTCGATGCGAATGATTGAATAATGCCGTTTTTGAAGTGCTCGTTTGGCAGGCTTAGCGTTCGTTCCTCGTCTCTTTCTTGAAGTAATTTTTCTACCACATACCGTAAGTGAGACTCTATCTGAATTTATTTCACGCTCGTGGGAGTCCCCATCCACGATGCTGCTTGCTGCAACCCGCACGAGCCTCACATTGAGCGCCTGCAAGTATGGTTATGTTTTAAGTTCTTTGTTCTGACTAAAAAGGAGAATTTTGCACTGTGGGTCAAAGGAAACGCCAGGAAGCCGAGGAAGCCATCGTTGGAGTAGAGAGTATGCTCCCGTGCTTTCATAGCTGCAAGCAGGTTTTTGGCAACTGGCTCATTCACCTGCTCCGTGTTGCTCTTGGATTGGATCCATTTTCCTAACAAATTACTAGGAACCACATTCTCACTTTGAAGCGCCTTGATTAGGTTTCTGGCAGCTCAAGAGCAGCAACGATTCTTTTTTTTCTCCCATCTTTCAATAACAGATTGGCATTTGCCCCTCTCAAATCGTCAATAAATGACCGCAACTCCAGTAGTCGATTTAGCATATTCGTATTCCATCGCTTGACATCAATGATGGACTTCTTTCCTTTCGTCGACCTTAAAGTATGCATTATGTTGACCGTTCGATGTTTCTTGGTTATTCTTCTTCCCTATGACATAACGATCTGTATTACCCTGTCATCGAGTGCACCTTGATAGCGAGCTGGGCATCGAAAGGTTCTGACAGACATGAGACCAAAATGCATGTCTGGAGAAAATCTTCAGGACGATCGAGAGCAGCATCGCTTTCAATGCTGTGATTTTCTGAGACCGCCTCGTCGTCCTCACCGAGAAGCTCAACTGCTTTCACCGTGTTGGGCGCATTGTCGGTGGTCACGGTATACAGGTTTACCTCACACAGCTCATACTCTTCCAGCACTGTACCAATTATTGCTTTCATTGATGCGCCGGTATGTCGCTTCGATAGTTCTTTCAATGCTAACAGGCGTACTATGAGCTTGCCATCTTTAAGAAATCGCACGTTGATTCAATACATTGGCATCTCCTCAAATATCCTACTATCGTGGTTGACTTCCCTTTTGTCATAAATATCGCGGAACACGTGGCTTACGAAGACGTGAACGAAACGGCCTAAGCGAATATTTTAAAAGGAAATCTAACTTCGTTATGAGTTTTGAAAATGCCTTTAGAAAAAAAATCTAGATTTCAGGTGGTTTTAGAACTAGGTGAATGTCCCCCTTGGCGTATTTCTTGTTGAAGCGATGTCCATCTAGTCCAAAATTCATCTGGGGTGGATGCACCTGGCTCCAAACATATGTGTGTGAGTGGCCAGTTGAATTTCTTTCCGATGGGACTCCCGTTTGGTTCCAAATCCGCCTCGGCATCAAGCCAAGTTTATGTCGGTGGACATTCTGTAAGGGTAACGAAGGCTCCAAAGTGAGCAGACACCTTCGTAAAGTTGGGAATCTGAGTAAAAGCAAAGCTGTCATTCTGACGTCTTTCTCGAGCGAGTGACGTTGCTTCTTCCCCGACTATGGGCTTAATTTTTTTTTACCTCAAATATATAATCACTCATTTAAGTTCGCGACTTACTTAATTCCAATGTGAGGGAAAGTTCGTGACTTTTGCCTTTCTTGACAAAGGGTTATTGTGGTCAATTCTTAACAATTTTTTCACTGTCAATGGACATTGGTTCCAGATGAGAAAGATAAAATCCAAGTACCATGTGATATCTCCTGTAGCACATGACATTGAGTCAACATAGAATAAGCATTGAATCAATATCCGTACGTTGAACAGGCGATCATGCAATGTTCATTCAATCCCTTGGGCTACTGGGGATATTACAGAACTTTTTCAGCATTCTCAATGTTCCAGAAAATTTCAGAGGCACTGTAATTCGTCTACTCAGAAAAAAACATTCAAAACAATATGTAAGGAAAATTGCTTTGCATATATCATAAACACTAGAGATTCAATGTTGTTAGAAGGGAAAAAAAAAGAGGAAGTAGAGCAGAAAAAATGACTACAAAATTATTTTCAAAATTCGAAAGAGCAGAAAACCCCAAATGAAATCCAAATTTCCTCTTTTATTGAAAATATTAGTTTCCATATTTCACGTAGTATACAGAAAATCGTTTTAAGAGTAGCTGGTTCATGGAGAAGAAAACCTGCTTGACACAACTTGAAATGAGACATAATAATGAGCATGATAGAAATTTCAAATGCGTTTCTAGCACGTCTAGTTAGGTAAAACTCACTTTTCACTATAAAAACATACAGTACACCAAAGGCGGGTCTTCGCAAATTGACTAAACCAGGGAAAAGGCATTTGATGCCATTGCTTGCTGGGCATAAATGGAAAAAAAAACATTTGGCAATATGCTCCACTTATTAGAGGGGGGTGGGGGAACAAGAGCCTGCTTCCTTCGAAATAGGGATTGACTCAATGCAAGCCTTGGTACAAGGTGTATAAACTTTTCGCAAGCCCTGAGTTTTCCAACATGAAAGTCACCTGGAAATCGCGAATAAATGTAACCACCTCGTATCTCATGCTAAGAAATTACTTGACGCCCCTGAAAGAAACAGCTAAGAAGTAAACGTTTGTAATAAATTAAATTATTGCGTAGCTTTTTCTGCAGGTTTAGCAATGCCATGACGAGGTCCACTAACTGTTACGTGAACTCAGGATTTTTAAAGACGGCTCTTCCACATTCAAAAAGTTTCCGAACATAGTTGGATTCCTCTTCCGGAACGTGATTAAACTGACGTAATTTAAATCTCGCCCATCACGTACAACACACGGACAACAATCAGGCAAGGAATTTCTCACTTCACGATAGGAACGGATATTTTTCTCTCCCTGATCTTCAGATGCGTCATCGAATTCCACTTGCTGGATCAATTCGGTAGTTTGATTTCGCAGAAGTATCCATTTGCAACGACATCGCAAGATTGGTCACTCCAGCAACGTATATTGCCACCATAATCCCAAATCCATTGACAATAGCCAGGGATATTATTAGGTTCGACTGAACAGAAGTAAGATTGGCCTGGCCCTGTGACATTCAGTGTGGTACTTGAAAATCAGAGGAGAATATTTTCACAGCATAAAAAAGTGCGCCCCTATCCGGATGAAACTTCATGGAAGCTAATTCATCATTGAAAACTTGTAGGACTGAGGAACGAAATACAAAGTGTTCTTATGCTAAGCCTAAAGTTGTTGCATGAATGCCTGATACATAAAAATATTGCGGGAACATTTCAAACATCAAGAATGAAACTAAATTTATCGGTAGAGTAGAATCTATAGATAAAAGACGGCATTATCACCTGGTAGCAACTTTAGGGTTTAGTGCTGGCGAACTTGTATTTCCTTGCACCAGGGTGGATAGATTCCTCGCAAAGTTATGTATTGCCTCTATTACAATTAATAAGATACTTGTGCGGTCAAAGGCATTTGATGGGTATCAGTTTCAATCATGAGGAAGAAAGAAACAACACAACGTCGCATCGTCGCTGAAATGCCCGAGTTGTGGGCTCGCTGATCAAATGAAAAGTGATGACTCACCGTCTGGGTACACCCAATAGTAGGTGCTGGTGACGCTCTGCCCGCCGACCCATATATATGAGCCAGGTGATACACTTTGCCTTAGCTGCCTTACGTAGCTGTTCACCGCTGCATTGTTGGAGGAAGCGAGTTGAGCGTTCTCATTCTGGCACGCGGTCGCGGCCACAATCGCGTTGATGCTTGTCATGGTCATCTTCACGTAACTCCTTGTTCCCGGCACAATGCTGTACCCTTTCAGGAAATCTAGAATTTGGCGTTCTTGCTTAAGTTATAGTGGAGAGACTGGAAATTACTTGGGAAACAGATGTCATCGAAAATAAAAGAATCCACCTATACAGGGGGATTGATTTTTTTCCATCGGTTTATCCGAAGTGTTTGTGGTTGCAAATTTTTTATTCCATCGTTCAGCTAGTACCGGACATGTGGACATTCATGGGAACACAGTGGTTTTCAAGTATTGGATTTTTCTTTAAAGTGTTTTCATAACGTGAATATTTCGTAGGAGGAATTTCGAGGTACCACCTCACTTGTTTAGGGGCAACACAATCATGCCAGAGGGCTAATTGGGCTTTCTTCAATGGGGTACGTTAATAATGATTAAAAGAAATTACAAAGAATTAGTGATGGGAAAAGACTGGTCTCCTCGCAGTTAAATGAACACTTCCAAGCTTCACTGTCCGAGAATAAAAGTATGCACGAAATTCACTTACCTGTGGGTATTGGTACATCTCTGTAGAAGAATTTGCTGCCTGCATCAGCAGTTCTCGGTTCGTCGAATCTGTATCCGAAGCGGCATAAGAAAGTACCTGAAGCCTGCGTCACAGAGTTGCTGAAGCACTTGGGATTCCTGTATGAAGGAAACATCGCAAAAGTTTGCAATCGCACGAGTTTTAGCAGAAGATACATGGAAAGCCCCCGAATGACAAAGACTGTATCTTTAAAGTTTCTGAAAGGATTGGTATACATGCATTCCGTATTGACCGTCAAAAAAGGCTCACTGAAAACTTATTGAGTAATAAAACGTTCTACGTTGTAGTATTTCTGAAGCAACTTGGAAGGTATTAATCTCAAGGAAAGTTGCGATAGACTCACTGCTTGCAAGCCATGCCGCACTGAAGTTCCGAGAGAACTAAGAGTTCTCGAACCGGCGAAGTGATGATCATGTTCGGCTGCATGGGGGCGAGGAATCGCTGAGTAGTGATGATCCCCATCGCCCTCCAGACAAACCAAACTAGGAGCCATAGTAGCAGCTGCATCCTCCTCCGATCCCGTACGCCAGCCAAATGGGCGGAAAGCGGCTCACATGCGCATACACTCTCGCCTTGTTCGAAGAGCTTTCTTCACGTTTTTCGTCTGCTAGCGTCATACGATTCGGTCGGTCGGCCCGTAGGAATGTAGGAAGACATTGAGGGTCCCTCTACCTGCACCGTCTTTCAAGAAAACTTTGATAAAATGGGCAATATAGATTCCTGTGTCTAGAACCTGCTTGAATGAACTCGCTTCAATATTATGGACATGACTCCATGCAAAGGGTGGCTGAACCTTGCTCAAATTTCTGGTAATGTTTCCTTGGACTGCATTGGAGACGGGTTGTATTTTATCTTTATTCTATTCTATCTTCTATATTTTGATGAATAGCCACCTTGAATGTATTGATAGTGGTTCATGGCCATGCTATCAGGAACACAACTGAGTTACTACTGCGTGTTACTATCGATAGGCTCCACATTTTTCAAAGGTAGTACAGTTCTATTTTGGACAAGACTTGGTCTCATCATAAATATTGGGCAAGTTCCATGTGCCATTGCATTATATTGGGTTGGAAAGAAAGTCTTGCAACACTGCGCAAATTTTTCAAAATTTTATGACTTTATTGAAATGCAATTTCAGTCTACAATGTAAGGACCATTGCTGTCTATGACATGTTCCCAACGCACGGGTAACTGCTCGATGCCCTTTGCCCAGAACTCTGGCGATTGCGAAGCGAAGAAACGGCCGACATCATTTTCGAGCTGTGCTCGATCGTCGAAGGCCTTGTCCCGCAGGTGATTCTTGAGGGCCAGGAACAAGTGATAGTCGGAAGGGGCCAAGTCCGGAGAATACGCTGGATGGGGTAAAACTTCCCAGCCCAGTTCCGAAATCGTCTGGCGAGTCATCTTCGCAACATGTGGAGGAGCGTTGTCGTGCAGAAGGAGAACTTTGTCGCGTTTGGGACGCTCTTTTTGAATGACGCCAGCGAACTTCTGAAGTTGAGCAGCGTAGACGACGGCAGTCACGGTGGTACCGGTTGGCAGGAGCTCATAGTACAACATTCCTTCTGAATCATACCAACAGCAGAGAAGAACCTTCTTCTCGTGGAACCCTGGTTTCGGTTCGTGTGGCGGAAATTCTCTTCGTGGAAGCCACTGACTCTTGCGAGTATGGTCGACGTCGAGGACCCAGCTCTCATCTCCAGTAACGATTTCCTGCAGAAGATCCTTTCTGTGCGGACGAAAGAGCAGTGATTCGCAGACACTGACACGGCTTGTTTTGTCAGAGTCGCTGAGCCGATGAGGGACCCATGTCGAGTAAATCTTCCGATAGCCGAGGTCGTTCAGATGGTTGCCGATGGCCATATGGGTGACTCCAAGTGTAGTCGCCGATTCGCGAGTGGTGGCGTTCGGCTTCGCGTTGAGGGCGTTCCGCAGGGCTTCGTCATCGACTGTAGATAGACGTTCTGAGCGTGGTCGATCTCCGAAGGTCGTGTCGCCCATCATTCCTTTGAAAAATTTTTATAAATAGTTTTAGAAACTGTTGCAAGACTTTCTTTCCAACCCAATATATGCATGAAAGAAGAAACCCAGTGAACTGGAAAAATACCGTGGGGATTCATCTCAGAAGCTAAGCTTTTGCAAGAGTTGTGAGATTCAGAGTGTGAGAGGACAATGAATGGAACTAGTAACTACAACAGGGGTGATTAAATATATGTACCGGTCATTATAATCCTAAGAGATGTTCTCTTTTTTTAGCTTTTACTCAGGAATAAGGTTTTGTTCTTTAAAGACTTAAGATAATTTTGAAAATCCCTCTAATGAACATGAAAATATATTCAATATATCAACTGGGTATTTCTTACATGAGTTACTACTATGATCAAGACCTTAGTTACATTGCCACCGGTTAGAAAAATTTACTCTGTGATATGAGCCTACCATGACACATTTCCTTCAATGACGTTCTGTACTTTCTCCAATAATGGAGCTTCGTTAGTGTCTCATTGAATTTTATGTCGCATCAATTTGCAGATATTTATGAAGCTGCCAACATGAATGTTCGGAGATGTGAAGAATCATCTGATTCATCTGAACACTTTGACAGGAAACGATATTCCTGCAAATCAATTTTCTCCTTCAGGAGCATATAGCGGAGCCGCGAAAAAGGTGAAGTCACCGGGAAGGTTGTGGAGAAATTTTATGTCTAGCTTGTGTATCTTGCTTGCTATGCCTTATCTGCGAGGTGGATTGGCCATGCTTCTTCACGAGCAGTAGTAAATTTCCGTACGACCTCCTCCTAGCCAGTGACGCGGCGGAAGGGATGTCCTTATTCGGGAAGTAGGCCCCGGTCACTGACTAAGGGGAGAGGCAGTAAGGTTTTTCTGGATGCCCTTAGAGGCAGAGCGACAGTCTTGATCGTAACCCCGTGCTGGACACAGTTTCCCTGATTTACGTGGCCCACCTACCTCCACCATGTCCATGACCATGTTTCTCCTTTTGTAAGTATACCTATATTTTTGTTCGTTTTGTCCCTTCCTCGCGAGTTCTCCAACCATTGCTATGTAAAAAAATATTAAATAAACCCGCGAGGGCTTTGACAAGAAAAGCACCGAGTCATTCGAATTAAAATGCTAGACCCTCAACTCGGCCCCCAACAACTAAAACCCCACTCGGCTACCGCCACAAGGTTACATGTATACCAAGCAGCTCCAGAGCTGGTGGTGAGTTCACACTTCCAACAGAGTTAAAAAGAAACCAGCAGCAAGTTGTCATCTGCAACTCTCTCCCACTTCTCTTGGGGGGGGGGGGGGTTGGAAGACACCAGTTGCGGATTCTCAGTTAGTGAAAACTAGTGTTCACAGCAGGGTTGGGTCATTCCCCCTGGAATTCCATCTGCTTCACCATCTTATTCAATATATGCTACCTTGCTGGAAGAAGACCATAGTGCCAAGAGTCCTCAAATCTTTCGGGAGTGTGATAATACCCAGAGTGTGGATGATTCATGCAAGTGAATAATACATTCTACCATCAAAATGGGAAAATTAGAAAACAGATTTCAGTTGTGGCATTCAAGCCCCTGAGGGCTAATATTTAATGTATATTTTCGAGAAAAAAAACTAAGCGGCAGAGTCCAGAATAGGAAAGCATGGTCATCCACAAAATTCCGTGGCTGAAGTCTCTCTGAGATCGCCCATTCCTTGAACACAGCTCAAGCATGCGGCATGCAGTTTCTTGCTCTGTTCAAATCAGATCCGTAAGTCGTTAAAAAATTTCATCCGATAAACATGGTCTCGAGGCTGCGAGGTGTATCGAGAACGCTTCCTGTGTCACGAAATCGCTTCCAGCTTACAGATTGCAGACTTAGTTGCCACCACGCGAATGTTGAAATTCTTTCGAAATGCTTCCTTGCACAGTTGGTCAGTTTTTTGATTCAGGTAAGTCTCAACAAGTAAAACATGCTGCTTCAACGTAAACACCATACTTGAAACTGAATGACAAAACAAATTCTGGCTTGACACTTGTGTACTGCGACACATCCTCCTACAAATATCGTGCAAGTGTTGAACTATAATAGGGCAATACAGGAAGGGTCAATCTTGTATAGTATGAACAAAACGTGCAATTGTTTGGGTTTCCTGACTTTACGATCACCCTGTATCAAATCAAATTCTGTCATTTTTTCCGTATTTCCTGCCATTTATGACGAAAAATCCCGAAGGCATGTGCAGGGCATACATGCCTCAATCGAGGGAGATTAGAGATAAGTCAGGCCTATTCCCATGTAACACAAATGATCACGAGGACGTTCATGTGTTACTTGGGAATAGGCTAGAAACAAACATTCGTTTGTTTCTAGCCACAACCATGTCAGGTTCACAACTGACGCTAGATGGCGCCAATGTAGCCGCTATAGAGGGTCAGTACCTCATTTAGCTGAATTCAAAACGGAGGTGAAACATATATCGTGCGCGATCCTAATCGCTAGCTTGGCCAAGCGACAAATAGGTGTTTCTGTTTGTGCGTGACAGCTATACATGTCAAACGCTTTGAGATATGAACTTTGGGTTTCAATGAAGTCCTCATTAACATCCGAGGATGTTCCTTTTCAAAATGAAGTTGGCAAGTCGACCTTACGAAAGGGAAGCAACTTTCAGGGAAAATCAGAGTTTGGCTCTCGTATCACCATCTCTCGGATGGACGATACGAGAGTTGCTCGAGGTACTCGAAAGGGAACTCTGACATCGCTCACGAAAGAAATTATTATTTTGCAACATATCTGTATTTAGAGGTAACCCCAGCCAAAAGAGTCTCCAGAACACTCCGGCTCGAATGAGAGAAACGGATGATGGTTCTGTTTCCAAGATTACTTCATGGAAATGAGAAAGAAAAAGAAAATATTTGAGTGCACGTTCTCGCTCCTATGAAAAGGCAATTCAGTGCAAGGCGTGTCTGACTCCTAAAATCGGATAACTGCATATACGATGAAAGATTTGTTGTGTAACTGTATCCACTTCTCCACCAGACTATCCCAGGAAAGGGAAGATGGTATTACCAACCAGACGAATTCGCTACATGGTGGCCCCTTGCCTCAGACCCGTGCCAAGGGAATAGGGTTTTCCTCGGCTGAATGCGAAAATTAAGAGATGAAAGGAACCCATCCAAAACGCTAATTGCGTTTAGGAGGAATCCTGAAAAAATAGTTATTTAACCCTTTTCTTGGAAATGATTAATTCTCGTCTGACATGAATTCACTTCCTACATGAAATCACATCATCCGGGGACAAGCACACGGGATCGATCACAAATTGACATACAGTATTTGCGATCGCTCTAAATTTCGGACATTTAAGCATTTAAGTCAATAGAACACTTCCCAACACCCATGACTCTTCATGGAACCCTGGGATTACCTTAAATAAAGCCTCAGGTGCTTGGGTCGCAGTCACTGAAGATCGTGGCGACTCCTTCAGCAACAAGGTACTCCCTTTCCTCCGGGTTGAAGCAGGTCCATCTGCCACTAGTTATAATCAGAAGAGTTGATGGAGCAAACCGAAGTTA